TACGGTACATGAAACGTATGCATCATGTGCATGGAATCGTGGTTGGCAGAGCCGTGACGTCCAAGTTGCACATAAATGTCCAAAAAATAAGCATGTTACTTCTCTAATCTCCCCGATATTAATCCTCATACATCAGCATCCCATTTGGAGGAAACAACACTGAAATTCATTTCACTGACTTACCTGGAACAAAGAAATCACGTCATCAAAATCCCCAAATTGTTGAAAGTCTCACAAGCGGCGGCCATTTTGTACATGAGTGATGACGCGTGCACAATATTGGGTAAACGTTGTCACGTGCGTCAGTTTACCCCACACAGTGGTAACATTTTACTAATGTCATGGTAAATTCTACTCTTCAACGTGAACAATGAAATAATTGTTACACAGCGGTGGGGTAAATCCAGTTTCTTTAACCCATCGCTTGGGTAATAACACCATGATTTGAACTCTTTGCCTGTGCTGCAGGGACTTGTAGTCAATGTTGGGTACTATTTTACCCTATACATGTGTAGCACATTTGACACAAGTAGGAGGTACAAGCGAAATTTTCATTTTGCTCAATATTGGGCAGAAATGACGCAATTTTTTTACGCAACAGTTTTACACAACATAAATTTACACTTCTTTTTTAGAGTGTAGGCATGCGCAACACTACAAATGGAATCCAACAAAGCACGATCGTCTTTGCAGCGACCATTTCCCTGCAGAGTGCTTCAGGGTGGAATGGGGGGAAAACACGTCTGCGTGTCGATGCCGCACCGTCAATCTTTGAAGACTACCCGACTTACAATGAGCCTTGGGGCCAGGATAGGCTATCGATAATTACTGTTTTGGGGAATGCGAGTTCGTTACAGTCAAGTGTCACTCACCCAATTCTGTTCCGATGTGTGTGTGCGGTACTGTCCAACTGTTCTCCCGCACGGTGGCTGGCGGTAGAATTTGCCTCGACTACCGCGAGACGAAACCGATCCTGGTCCCGAGAATATATATTTACAAATGTTCACAAGGTTACCGACGGACGGACGAAGACGACGAGAATTAACTAACTAGTATAAAACTTGGAATTGTTGACGAATAACGATGATAAACTGGCAAAACTTGGCACTTCGAATTTACAGGAACGCGACGTTATTAAGACGTCAGAACGAAGGGGCACGTCCTTCGCACGTGTTTGTGAACCAACGAAAAGTCTATGTGAAACGCGTATTATGTACAGGTACCAGCGACACGCGAAAGTGCTGACAGGTCAAAGTATGACGAAATGCTGACAAAGGTCAGAGTTCGCGCGGGGTGGTCACCACATCAGCCCCCTCCAGAGAGCTTCTGGAAGAAGTGATCGAAGAAAAAAAACACATATATATACAATATTTACAGCGTTCAACCACAGTCGAACTGGGAGAGGTGCGCGGGCCAGTGAACCCGACGGCCGGGGTGCGTGTTGTTCGTTCGGTCGTGGTACTGTCCTGATCAACTGGAGCAGGCAGGGGAGGTGCCACCGGCGGGTTTTGAGGAGTTTGCACTGGCGGTTTTGGCGATGTTGGTTGTGGCAACGCGGTTGAGGGATCCATCTCAAGATACGCGACTTTCAATCTATCCAAACTCACTGTGTCGCTCTTGCCGTTGATGTCCAGTGTATAGTATTTGTCTGCTCGCTCAAGTACACGATATGGTCCCTTGTACGGAGGTTCGAGTGGTTTGCGCACATGATCACATCGGACGAAAACGTGTGTGCAAGACAACAAGTCCTTGTGAAGCTGTGTGGTGCGGGTGTGCGGTCGTGTAGGTGCTGGCGCTATCTGACGCATGACGCGTTTGAGGCGATGAACATAATCTCCTGGGTCTAATCCAGCATCATTGACGTGTGCGACAAACTGTCCAGGGAGGCGCAATGTAGTTCCAAAGACGAGTTCCGCTGTCGAACACCCAATGTCCCGTTTGACGACTGTTCGGATCCCCAGCAGAACAAGAGGGAGTGTTTCCGTCCACCTGTTGGGCTCGTCCTGTGCTTTGAGTGAAGCTTTCAACTGTCTGTGGAAGCGCTCCACTAGTCCGTTTGCGATAGGATGGTACGAAGTAGTGCGGATGCGTCGACTGCCAAGTAATGTTGTCAAGGCGTTGAACAGGGCTGATTCGAATTGTCGGCCGCGGTCGGTGGTGATTGTCGATGGTGTGCCATATCTTGTTACCCAATTGCTCACAAACGCTCTGGCGACAGTTTCTGCAGTTATGTCTGGGATCGGAATGGCTTCCGGCCACCTTGTGAAACGGTCAATGCACGTGAGTAGGTATGACTGACCGTTGGACGGTGGAAGTGGGCCGACAATGTCAATATGCACGTGGTCGAAACGGGCATCAGGGGTGATGAAGGTTCCTAGTGGTGTGATGGTATGCTTGTGCACCTTGGATTTCTGACAACGGATGCAGGTTTTAGCCCACGAACGAACATCATGGTTCATGTTGGGCCACACAAAACGTGCGCTGACTAGCTTGAGAGTGGCTCTGATTCCGGGATGCGACTGGGAATGCAAGGAGTCGAACACTGCTCTTCGCATCACCTTGGGGACGAAGGGTCGAGGGGTGCCGGTAGCCATGTCACAAGCTAGGGTGTTCTTGCTTGCAACCAGCGGAATGTCCTGTAGCTGAAGAACCGACTGCTGTTTGTGTTGGAGTAAGTCATCATCATTGCGCTGATGCTCGGCCAAGGCTTGGAAATCGACATGGCAGAGAATGTGTTCAGGCTAATGCGTGACAACGCGTCAGCGACGTTGTTGTGTTTACCCTGAACATGTCTGATGTCAGTTGTGTACTGCGACACGTAGTCAAGTTGTCGGATCTCGCGGGGGGAGTATCTGTCCGAGCTTGCAGCGAGTGCGTGTGTCAGCGGCTTATGATCTGTTAAGATGGAGAATGCGCGACCCTCGACAACATGGCGGAAGTGGCGGATGGCAAGGTAAGCCGCTAACAGCTCCCGGCCGAACGTGCTGTACTTGGTCTCCGCAGGTTGCAGCTTTCGTGAGAAGAAAGCAATGGGACGCCAGATGTCATGTTCCAGCTGTTGCAGGACTCCACCAACGGCGAAATCAGAGGCATCGACCATCAGGCTTAACTCAGCATCGGATCGAGGATGAGACAAACGAGTTGCATTGATCAAAGCCGACTTGACTGCTTCGAAGGCATCGATTGCCGTGTTGGTCAGTTCGATTGTCTTCTTGGGTTTTCCAGCGAGAAGGTCGGTCGGAGGTCGTGCCAAGGCAGCACAGTGGGGGATGAAGCGGCGATAGAAGTTGACCAGTCCAAGAAATTCGCGCAATTTCTTGGTTGAATTGGGGACTGGGAACCGTTTGATCGCGTCAACCTTTGTGTCCAGTGGCCAAATACCGTCCTGGTCGATCTGGTGGCCTAGGAAGTGTAGTGACGGCACACCAAATTCGCACTTGGCGGGATTCACCACAACACCGTACTGATCAAGCCGCTCGAAAAGCGTCCGAAGATGCGACTCGTGCTCTTCTTCGCTATGGCTGGCGATGAGTAAATCGTCGATGTAGGCGTATACGAAATCCAACCCGTGTAACACTTTATCGATGAAACGCTGAAACGTCTGGGCTGCGTTTCGCAGTCCAAAAGGCATGCGCAAGAATTCGAACATGCCAAATGGAGTGGTGATGGCCGTCTTCGGAATGTCACTCGGCTCCACGGGGATTTGATGGTATGCTCGGACTAAATCCACCTTCGAGAAAACAGTCTGGCCATGCAAAGACGAAGTGATGTCATGTACATGTGGGATTGGATAGCGGTCAGGGACGGATGCATTGTTCAGAGCGCGGTAATCCCCGCACGGTCTCCAATCACCCTGTGTTCCTTTAGGCACCATATGCAATGGCGATGACCAACTACTATTGGAGGGACGGATGATGCCCAATTGTAGCATGTGGTCGAACTCCGCCTTGGCGATTTTCAATTTGTCCGGAGCAAGGCGTCGTGGCCTGGCGGATACAGGAGGGCCTTTAGTTGTGATGTGATGGGTAACATCATGTTTGGGTGTTGCATCCTTGAAGCAAGGTTTTGCAATGGCAGGGAACTGACCCAAAATGGCTGTGTATTGAGTGTTCGGGGATGGGCCAGCAAAAACAGGGCTGAGAACATTGGTACTTGTTGCAATGCCTTGAATGCTAAGACTAGTGGTGGAATCTATGAGTTTTCTGTCCTTCATGTCAACCAATAACCCAAAATGGCGAAGGAAATCTGCTCCCAAAATTGCGACTGGTACATCAGCAACTGTAAAAATCCACCTGCATGTACGCCTAAGACCCAAATCAATTGTCATTGAACGCTCACCGTATGTGTGAATCCGTGTCTTGTTGACTGCCTCGAGCACAAAATCACTCCTGCAGCACTGCTTGTCTCGTGGCGTTGGAGGGAGGATGCCGACCTCAGCACCGGTGTCCACGAGGAACTTGGAGCCTGTGATTTTGTCATATACATGGAAAAGGCGACATTGATTGGGTGTGCCAGTGGATGAAGTCGCCCCTATCCGCTGGCCTGCTGGTTTCCCTGGGCCGTGTTGGAACTGTGGTTGCGTGTGTAGTTGCATGGTTCCTTGCAGTTACGAGCTTTGTCCCCGTATTTCCAATGGTACCAGCAGGAATCAGTAGGGTTGTCCCCCGACGCGGAAGAACTGCGATCGCGTCTGTGCTGGCTTTGGTCGCGACTGCGGCTCCTCGACCGACCGTGTTGATACTGGTTCTGGCGCACCAACAACTCCATCTGGGCCGTGAGCTTTTCGACTTGAGCTTGAAGCAACTGTATTTCCGATGCAGCAGATGGCTTGACTGCAGCAACAAGTGCTGGTGCTGGAACGGCAGCACAGGCCTGAGCTGGTGACGGGGAAACTTCAACGATTTTGTCCGCGAGCTTAGCGAGTTGTGCGATGTCGACGTCGCTTGTCGAGGCCAAGATCAGTTGGATGTTTGTTGGCAGGCGTTGCATGAACAACTGCTTCAGGATTGCAGGCTCCAGTGTGTTATTGCCGAGGTGCGAGGTTGTTCCATGGTGCGAAGTAACTGCGAGGGCTTCTTATCTCCAAGCTCTTCTGTAGTCAACAGTTTTTGGAGGCGCTTTCGCTCCGACTCGCTAGTGCGTTTGATGAGCTCCTCCTTCAGTTTGGAATATGGGTTATCAGCCGGTGGGTTGACTAACAAGTCCCTTACTTCCTGCGCAATGGATGGTTGTAGAGATGCGATCACGTACGAGTATTTCGTGAGCTCCGATTTGATGCCCCGGGTAAGAAACTGCGCCTCAACTTGTGCGAACCATATCACCGGGTCGTTGGGCCAGTACGGTGGGAGTTTCAAAGCTACTGCACTGACTGGTGATGCTCCAGAAGACCCTCCAGAATCTGGATTTTGCGGCTCCGATTTGGTAGCCATCGCACGTTTCTGGGTCACCACTTTGGGGAATGCGAGTTCGTTACAGTCAAGTGTCACTCACCCAATTCTGTTCCGATGTGTGTGTGCGGTACTGTCCAACTGTTCTCCCGCACGGTGGCTGGCGGTAGAATTTGCCTCGACTACCGCGAGACGAAACCGATCCTGGTCCCGCGAATATATATTTACAAATGTTCACAAGGTTACCGACGGACGGACGAAGACGACGAGAATTAACTAACTAGTATAAAACTTGGAATTGTTGACGAATAACGATGATAAACTGGCAAAACTTGGCACTTCGAATTTACAGGAACGCGACGTTATTAAGACGTCAGAACGAAGGGGCACGTCCTTCGCACGTGTTTGTGAACCAACGAAAAGTCTATGTGAAACGCGTATTATGTACAGGTACCAGCGACACGCGAAAGTGCTGACAGGTCAAAGTATGACGAAATGCTGACAAAGGTCAGAGTTCGCGCGGGGTGGTCACCACACTGTCATGAATTTAAAGGCCTATCATGTGCTTAATTTGTTTGATTTCGTAGAAAGACTACAGTCTCGTGTATGGACTTCAGCACGAGAGAGAAAAGCTGCCAACGGCAAGGAAAGAACCGACCCAAGCCCCCGTCGAAGATATTGCTTCGGTGCATGGCTGTAAAGGCAAAACAAACATCAGCGATAGAGCATGCATACACTCTACCACCAGAAATGGATCTACCCTCGGCAGTAGCAGGAAGGCTTGAACAGGAAACCAGTATTTCGTTATCGTGTTATTGTTGCTCCTCAGGAATTGAAAGATTGAATAGCCTTCTGTTTGCATTCATGCATATGAGGAAGATATATTGGATTACTTATTCTGGTTCATAAATTTATGGGAAGCAATACTCACCTGCTGGTGGATGCATAGGCTAGACCTTCACATAAATATTCGGATGGTGACAACCAAATTTTTTTTTTCATGAGCAATGATATTCTTGACATCTTGATTAATAATGGATGATATGGATATGGAACTGCCATTTCATCAGATTATTTATTAGCTAACGAGTAAGTTTTCATTGTATATAAATTGTTTATTACTTAAAAGTTATTTAAGTATTAGCTTGTTCAGAACTCACAACAGATGGCCAGACTAATTTTTGTAGTCATCCATTCCTTTCAAATGTAATGTTTCTATTGAGGTTAGCAGTATTAATTGATGGCCCATTGAACATCATCTGTCAGGTGACATGGATACCATCTGTAAATAAAGCTATTATTATTATTAAAGCAACGCAATATTTCCAGTGCCCGCTTTTATCGTTGCTCGTTTACAAAATGATTTTCTGTTATTTCATTTTGATGTTGGTAAAATTAAAAGTTTATGTTTTGTCTGATAGGCAAGTAACGGTTGATTTTTATTGCACATTTTAAAAAAGAGGGGAAAATCTCATGAAACTGATTCACATTTAACTACGCTTTCTGACATTTGTCTGTGTTAAAGATATAAGAACACAATGTGGCTACTTTTCGGTACAAATTAGTATTCTTGGCTGAAAATCAATTACCTTCAACACAGTCGCCAATTTGGCCCCAAATAAGACACAGAGGCAAACTCATGTGTAACATTTCAAAGGAATATGAAATGTCACATTGTCAAAAATCGTAGTTAAAAATGTCAACCTGTTGTTAAGAACTTCAACGCAAAGCTGAATTCAGGTGGGGGTGTTGGAGATATTTTTCCGTCCATCATTCAGCAGCTGCCCTTTGCGCGTGGCGCTATTCACGTGACTTTGCAGCGCGTCCATGAAGAACCCAGAAGTTTTGCACAGTGAATGGCGCGTTCGAACGCGCGTCCGATCTAGTTATTTTAAGTTCTATATCTATGGTCAGAATTGTATAGTTCTAAATTCAAAACGCAACGCCACGGGTGCGTTTTGCGCAACATCGCGCAGAACATGCTACGCGCGCGTCAATCTCCATAAAAGGGTTGTTTACATCAAACTCACCAGCTGAATACTTTAATATTTTGCTAGAGGAATATTTAAAAAAGCATGAAGTGAACTTGTTGAACAAAATTGGGATAATTTGAACGAATTATTTGATATTTTTTTACCGAAAAGGTATTTATGAATGGGAATAAATATGTGCTCGGTCGGTATTTATCACTCTGTTTAAGACCGCTTAGAGTCTGGGTGCTGATAATTACCCTCGCCTCCGGCTCGGGTAATTATCAGCACCCAGACTCTAAGCGGTCTTAAACAGAGTGATAAAAACCTCTCGAGCACACATTTATTCCCTTATTAACAAAAGGTATTTCAATATGTGGGACTTACATGTACAGGGTGTGACAAATGAAAGGAAACCCAAATGGCAGGAACCATCTTTGTAATGACGTTCTGCATGTAGTTCTTTCAAAATCTAGGATAGGAATTAAAGCCCAATTAATACGCTTTCTTTTAGTGCAAGCATCATTCAAGTCACTTTTGTACTTTTCAAGTTACGAAATTTTAAACGCAAACACCGTTTTAAAGTTCTGTCCACAAATCACAAAAAAAGTAAGTAGTGTTCTTTCAGCAAAACGAAACAATTCACATTCATCCCTATGTTAATTGTTTTCGTTTTCAAAAAAAAAAAGGAACACGTGTGATCCGTGGACAGAACTTTAAAACGGTGGTTGTGTTTAAAATTCCGTAATTTGAAAAGTACATGAGTGATTTAAATGATTATTGTACTAAAAGAAAGCTCATTAATTAGGCTTTCGTATCCTAGATATCCTCGAAAGGGCTACAGAACGTCACTACAGATACGTCATTACAGAAGGGGTTTCTTTTTTTGTACTTATCCTGTATCCTATACATGTAGTTATGTAGATATAGGCCTTTGAAATGTCCCTTTAATGTGACGTCACATGACTTATAACATCATCAGCTGACGTTTGGGAAAATAAATCCGGTTGTTTAAAATTTGGATACAGCTTGTCACAGACTCTCTTAATAAAGATTGTGCAGTGTGTAGTGTATGCAGACTACAGTAATCTATTTATAGCGCAACCAGTGTATGACGTCATTTTTGTGATTGGATGTACACTCTAGTACGTGTGTACTCTAGTGTGTTATGGCATGACATGGAACGTGAATACAATACGAAGCAACCAGAAAGGTATAAATCTCTGTCTCACATTAATCGGGTATTAATAAATACCTTGGAGAGTTGATGGTTTCTGATTGGAGACTCGATCACGTGGCCGTTCATTAACAATGATAATGGACCGGCTTCAAAGATCAAGCGAATAAATGGCCCCTGAACCAGCATTGATCAAGCCCCGTTCAGCCCCATGCAAGCCAATGATTGGTCAAAATAAAGTAACAGTCCTGCGGTAACTTTTAACAATTGAGCACTGCACATGCGCTCAACCCCCATCGCGTGAGACTGACGCGCGCGTACGCAACACAGTTGCTAGGGGTGCGTGCGTACCGCGTGCGCGCGCGTAAGGAAGTTTCGAAACGACATCGTACAGCAGTGCAGTATATACTGAGAATGTTTACGACGAAAGCGTAGATCTACGATTTATTTTCTTTGCAACACTTCACCCACCGACATATTTACCTTTCCTAAACCAAGCATCTTTGTAATTCCAGACACAAGGAATGTGTAAACGAGATTTCAGCTTCCTCCATCAGGTAAAGATAGTGTGACAAAAATCAGCTTTTCCTTTAAATAATCTTTCCGTACTAGAGAATAGTCTGGTTTCCTTAACATGAATCTCGTACGACAGAATAGAAATGAAACTTGTTGATTTTAGGCCATTTTCAGCCCTCAAATCCAACTTTATTCACCTACTAGACTTACCAAATATTCGTAGTATTTATAGAATAATTCCATAATGATGTGAAGAAGCCATAAACTTTGCATTATACTGTTGTTTCTTTCCGGTACTTGTGCAAGTTTTATAACGTTCAAGGCATTTGACGTTTGTGCACAGTGTTATTGAATGCACCCATTGTTTGTGTGTTATTGACTTTTGCACACAGGTTAATGATGTACTTAATTAATGCAGAGATTTCATCATCAGGGTTGGTGACTCGTTTTGCATACGTGATACGCGCTATGCGCACTTTTAGCCTATTGGAACGCGCGCGCTCACTGCGCCCCAGATTCAGTCCTGCCAAAAGTGCATAAAAGGCGAGCTGGAACAGCAATCGAGCGCTCTGCTCGCCTCCAGAACAAGCCCTGTGGGAAGAACCAAGAAGAAGAGGAATAAGAAAAAGGAACAAGCAAGAGGGAACAAGCAAGAAGATGAAGAAGCAAGAGGAATTGAAGAAGTAGCCAGAGGAAGAAGAAAAGAAGAGACAAAGCATGAAGAAGAATAATACCGATGTCCACACTGAAAAGGAAGCAACGTACAACGGAGAGCGACAGCCTATGCATTATGCGCCTTGTACTGTGTGTACATATCCGCGCACAAAGAATGCTTAATTAGACTTGCTATCAGTCCGATTAGCGCACTGTGTTTAAGCGGCGGCAATTAGAATGTGCGTATGCAAACTAAAGTGACCCAATCTGATGAAGTGTTTAATTATTATAATTTGATGGTGATTGATTAAAACAAACAAGAAGTTTGATATCTTTTTAAGTATTCTGCCTCAGAATAAAGGTTTAGGGCAAGACTTAAGGCCAGACTCTTAGGCAAGACTTTAGGGTCAGACTTTAAAGGGAAAGACTTAAGAGCCAGACTTTAGGCCTATAGGACAGACTCGAATTATATTGCCTCCTCCACCCCAGCCTTCCCTTTTCTTTTGCGTTTGCGCGCCAAGTTATAGTCCAACCCCTCCCCTTACCCTTCCCCTATCCATAAAGTCATCGAGGCTTTGAAGAAAGCTACGCTACCAGACGAACTCCACTTGGGTCAGGTTGACGTCCTGAGATTGTGACGGCGCCCTCAACGCTGGTCCCGGTCAAGCACTAGCTCAGACATACATCACCGAATTTCTCCTGGTTATTAATCCCGGCGGGTTTTT